GTATCATGGTTGTTCTTGCTCTTTTCTTTCGGTTGAATTGCATCTGATGAGTTATCACTTTCTTTTATCATATACAGCGCTTTATTTGTATTTGCTTGTTTCAATTCAGATAATATTTGTCAAACGTTGGATTCTGACAAGTGCTGTTGTGCTTCCAACCGTCATTGGAAGGGTTAACTATGAAGGATGCCGTTTGATCGGAACGATGGAGTCAATTAATCTGACGTGTGTGTATCGTGGATTACGTGGATTTACGTTGGCTTGACTCGCTTTTTTGCGTATTAGCATGGAGTTGATTGGGATATGTATAAAATTTTTTGCAATTTAATTTCACTGAAGATGACTGGAATTCAGTCGAAACGTATGAATTTTGTAATTTTGTAATTTTGTAATCTTTTGAAAGAGATTGTTTAATATATTTATATTTTAACGCATTGTCAACCGCGTATATTTTTAAATTTACTCTCACTTGCCTGTTTTGTAATATATTTATTTGTTTGTTTATCGAGAGTCCAATATAGACGTTAATATTTTTGATTTTTATATTATACATTTATATGTATTTTATTAATATATATTTATATAATATTTTATATCATATAATTATGTATGTATTTCAGAAATATTGTTGCACAGAATTATCGGTCTATTAACATATACTTTTTCATTATAAAATTTTAAAGTTAAGTAAAATATTGTATTGTATATTTTGCGCACATTTCTCGGTGAAAGTAACAAACTCTAAAAAATTATGATAATTTTTCTTAGAAATTTTGTTACGAAAACAAGAGATCACTCGTTAATCATTCAATGGACAAAAGTGTGTATCTTTTTTTACTGTATAATATTCTACTTTGAATAGGGATTCTACATACGTATTCATATCGAGAGGTATAAGGGAGAATGCTTAATAAACATTTGCCACCCTGTTTCCCGATCGATTCCCCCGAAGCCATGAATACGAACAGCTTCTTCACTGTCGAGTGAGTCCTTTCTCTGCGTCTGTGTCCCGTGGATAGACACATTTGGTATTGCGCTTTGCGTACGGTTTCCGCGACGTGAATCGAGATTGATCCGGGCACAATGCTCGGGACGGGACGCTCCAGATCCGAAAGTGCCCGTGTCTACGTCGAGACGTCTGCGCGTGATTGACACCCGACAGCGCCACTCGAAACAGTCAAAACATTTCGCCCCGTGTCGCGTCGAGTCTGGCCTTGACGCTTCATAGCAACGCCAATCATCCTTCTCGGCAGATTCACTGTTATCCGTAAAATGAGGATTACTCGGCGAGTACCTGATGCATTCGACAATATTTCTTTTCATGTCACTCTCACTTACGAGAACATCAAGTTTTAGACGACTTCAACGATCACTTACGTATCTGCGAATAAATATAGATAGACGATTGCACACAGCATATTATTGACCACTATATGAATGTATTAAATTTCGTGCAACAATTTGAAATTGACGGAACATTTATAAACCGCATCGTATACTTCGATCCTTCGAGCCACGAAATAATAATAATAATTCGGCAAGATCTATATTCGGCAATATTTCATTCTCCTTTATAAAAATACACACACACACACACACACACACACATTGCATAAAACGTTTTATTATATATCTCATTTTCATTAAAATATCTCATGATCCAACAACAGTAAGTATTGTATTTCAATGAAAGTAGCATAAGATACACCTATACAATCACATCGTATCCAACATTCTACAAATTGGCTTTTACTAATCAATAATCAGATACTTCGCGATCAATAAAACACTTGTAAGTTGTGTTAGAGTTCCGCATATTGTTTCGTGCACTCTATAATCCGTAGATGTGAACACGAGGATCGAAGAGGATAAGCCGTTTGTCGAATGACAATAGTAGATCCTGCAATATCTACGATGCGCCCCGGCGCGACTAGCGTGATCATAGATCGTTGATTATTATCATTGAATAGCCCGCACACAATACATTGGCGCTTTCGTGTTACAGTCGCCGACTCAACAGGAGGTACTCTCGGCTCTGAAGAGACGTTTGGAGCAGACTAGCGTACCGCTCTTCCCACGGCATCGCCTTCGCATGCTCTCCAAACTTGCCGAAGGCGCCTTTGGAACGGTAATGATATTTTGTTATTACATCCGTGAATATTAAGTATATGTATACAATAAGCGTAAAAACTATTCGTACGCGAGAGACGTTCTTTTAAGGAGGTTCTATCGTTAGGGCAAGGTGATTAGAAAAATATGAAAAAATATAAATATTGTTCTTTAAAAGTAGCTAAAGCCCTAGGTAAAGTTTTTAGGTAGGGTTGCCGACTTCAAACTCAGGAAAAACGCTTTTGAAAAGTCCGATTAATACACATGTCTTATGGGGGATATGAAAAATTCATTAGTTATAAAGATATATCTTTTCAGAATGTGTCAAGAAGTAAATAACAAACTGATATATTGAAAGTGTAGGATCTCGTTTATCATTTATCAAAGCAAAAAAAATAATACGTTGCCGAAGAAGTGAATGAGATATTTAATAAAAAAGTTGTAAAAAGTGTATAGGTTATAGGTTACCTCCTTCAGAGGTTACTACTCTCTTCAACCAAGCCTTGTATTTTTTACTTAATAAATAATATACATTGTGTACACTTCAAATTAATCAATTTAACAGTCATCTTAAATAAAATTAAAATTTTAGAAATAAAATTTATGAGTGTTAAAAGCAGTTTTTTCCACACTTTTCCGTAGTCCTCATTTGACCTCGGAATACCGATAGAGCCTCCTTAAAAGACGCTACTTTTAAAAAATAAACATTAATTAATAATTTATCAATAAAAAATACAATAGACTTAGACTGTAGTTTTCAGAATTATTTTACTTAAAAAGTGTAATAATTAAAATATATATTATATTATCTTAAAAATAAACGAAAGTGAAAAATTGTATTTTTTGGATGCACAAAAGTATTCTTATAGTCGAAATTTCAAGAAATTTAGCTTCTAGATCAGGAATACGCGAAACTTTTTTGTGTTTACATTACGACAGAAACTACTCAATAAGCGTGTTCTTTACTGTAAACTGGTCCGAGCAATAATTTGAAATAAAAGAAACTGTATTTGTTTCACTTTAACTTATTGCATGTGCACCGGTGTGCACCAGTTCAGAGAATTCATTGATAGAACAGATCTATTTTATAAAATTGCTAATTAATGTTAATTTTCTAAAAATAAAACTTTTTAAAATAAAAATTTTTTCGGTGCAAATATCTTTTGTACTCACTGTATTTCCAATTAGACACGAACATTCGATGAACCGACGAATCGAACGATAATGACTTTGCAATTATTTCTGTGTTTAGTGTATTATTTGTATCCTTTAATTCTCAATTTAAGAATTATCTAAAGTATTAGGTGCTTGAATTAATTCTTGCTGTTTTTTTTCTAAAAAAACTTGTGCTTATTTTATCAAAAAGCTACCTGATATTTTATTCACCATATTGTCCATCGAAAGCTGTAACCTTTTCCCACTTTTTGGGTGATAAATGGATTCCGCTGCTCAGAAAGGCCATGTTGCATCAACCGAAACAAATGGTAATCCGATGGAGCAACGTCTGAATAGGGCGGGGGGATGAGGTAAGACTTCCCATCCAAGTGCCTCCAAGATTTTTCCTTCACTAGTTGTGCAACATATGGTCTGGTGTTGTCATGGAGAAGAATAACTTTATCATGTCTTTTGGCGTAATGTGGGCGTTTTTCTTTGAATGCTCGATTCAAATTGAGTAATTGACGTCAGCATTCACCGTTGATGGTTTGACTCGGTTGCAGGAGCTCATAGTACATGACACCGACTTGATCTTACCAAATGCACAGCATGACCTTCTTTCCATGAAAATCCTATTTTGGCATTAATGCTGATGGTTCATCGGGACGCATCCATGATTTTTTGCGTTTAGGATTGTCGTAACGAATCCATTTTTCATCGCCAGTCACAATTCGATGCAGAAACGACTTCCGTTTTTGTCTTTGGAGCAGCAATTCACAAATGACTGATGTCTCTCAATTCATGTCAGACCCAATTTCCTAACTTTTGGAACATTCCCATTGCTTTTAAACGTTTGCTAACGATTGACACATCGACATTTACTGTTTCCGATTCTTTGAGCATTTGACATGAATCTTCTTGAAGTAATACCTTCAATTCTCAGAATTCTCTATCTTTTTCAGCTGATCAGAGCGCTCTTTGTCAGTCATATCAAAATCGTTGTTTTTAAATCTTCTAAACCAATCTCTGCAAGTTATTTCAGATAGAACATGCTCCCCATAAGCCTCCACTAGCAAATTATGACTTTCAGCAGTAGATTTCTTGAGGTTAAAACAGAAAAGTAACATTTCTCGCAAATGCTCTTTTTTGGTACGAAACCCGATATTTTTAATGCAAAAAAAATTATGTTTTTTGCATCAGATCAAATGTTATATACTGATTATTAAAGCCTATTCATACTTTCATATACATAAGCAGTCACTTTCGGCCATGTTGCAACAGCACAAATACCTCTCCCGGTCAACAGCGAGAATTAATTCAAGTATCTAATATACAGACTGTACCGTTCTCGTTTTAAAAGACACAGAGTTCAATGTAAAGGCCTTGTACACAAAAAAATAACTTAAGCAGTAAGACATAAGTAAAGTCACTAGATTAACATAGTACCGCGAACTGCCGCCATTTTGGCTCCATGACGCGGTTATTCAAAACTTATGTATAAATGTATATAATGTATTATAAGGGAAAGTAAAATCGTAAATTAAATGTAGATATTAATTTTATTTGCAATTCATATTTGTATTAAAAACAATAATATAAAAGAAAAGGACTCTTATATAATATAAAATATAAACTATAATATAATATAAATTAGAATATAAAAAATATAATAATTATATTATTATTGTCCAAATGGACTTGTAAACTTAATGCAATAATTATTATGTAATACATAGAGGAAAGTCACCGACACTGACATAGGTCTCCTAAAGTGACACCCCCTTATTTCTCGTAAACTAATCTTTGCACTTCATTAATATTAATGAAAACATAATCTGTTTTGGTAATTAAAGAAGTAAAAATCCATAATTCTGTATATGTAGCTTGTTTCTATACAAAATCAGCTAAAAACGAATTCTACAAATGTGAAAACAAAATTCTTATGATGTTATTTTATAAATTACGTAGTTTATGTAATAGTAGCTATATTAGTGATAATATTAAATCCTTTTATATGTTTGTAGTTTTCAAAAACTATTTTATTTATATTTTCCTGTTTCTTATTTTTCTTATAATACGGTTTTAAAAATAAAATCGTTTATAGCCTAAACCGGCATGTCGTCACGTGTCCCATCGACATATCGCGCATCGTAACATAACCTGCACACTGCGGTCACATGCGCATGCTCTGTGGCCATATACGCATATGTCAGTTTTGGGGCCCATTTTGTCTGACGCTCGTTTTCGCTTATTCAATAAAAAAGTTAATTATTGCAAAATTCTTAACAGTATTATAAAAATTACTATAGAGCATCGATAGAAGACACTTATATTTCCAGTTTACATTTATATCTCCAAAGATTTATTTTCTGCTTTTGTCTAAAAAATATAGTCTAAAAACAAAGTAGTATGTTGGTATCGCTGACCTTCCCTAATAATATTTGTATCATATGATAATAATTCAAATTAATAATACCTCACAAATTACAACTCTTTCCGGCAATGTTTTTTTGCCAATTAATTCAAGCCATTCTTTACGTCTATCGTCTACGCTAAAATAAACGAAAGCCTCTTTCGCTGCGGTTTTTGCAATTCTCAATACAGCAACCGAGCATTTTCGACGTTTCCTAACCAGTTCATTTACACAAAATCACAAACGCATATACAGTTACAACAGGATCAGGATTGCACTTAATGTGTAGAAAGTTACATTAAATACCATCGACATATAGCGATGTTAAATACACTATCTGAACTTTCGACGCCATTTTGGCTCCAAATGCTAATTTTCTCATCGCGGTACTTTGTTAATCTAGTAACTTTAGACATAAGTAGTAAGGAAATCAATATTATGCGTCGTCTATAGTGGGCAGTAACAGTAGTAGTGAGGTTATGTATATATACATATATATATATATACATAGGAATAAAAGATTGACCAATCACAGTCTATTATTCTTCTCACATTCAACTGTGATTGATCAATTTCTTATTCCTACAGCCTCACCATTACTACTACTGTCCATTGTAGATGACGTATTAAATTGACTACTATGCGTTTACGATTTATTGTTCAAGTGTTTTTGTGTATGCCATGGCTCTTACAAAGAAAATTTATTAAGCCGTTATAATGATTAACTTATTAACATTTATACCGCTATAATTGTATGCGAATAAAAAGCAAGTTCGTATTATCCCGCGCTACGTAATGTGTTGCAACTTCTCTGACATGGTTACGATTGCGAAATCAATCCGTTTGTTGGCCGCGCAACGTGCACGTATAATTCAACATGCGCAGGATGCGCGACAATACGTCGATTCATGAAGTACCGAGATGTAAATTATTCTTCGCTAGTACAATGGCGCCTCGTCGGAGTTATCAAAAATAATTATTCTAGGAATAATTAATTTAGGATGCGTTAGAGCGGCTAATAATTTCCTTTTATTTTAAAAAATGTCGCGATTGAACGAAGACTAGAAAAGAGTCTTCGATACAGTATGCCAAGTTTTACAAAATAAAAAATAAAATTCTGCGACTATCTGTACGTAAGTTTCGAGAGTGGTACAGGAAAAAAGTTTTCTTATTGAAACGATTAAACATTGGATCAAAATTTTTGAAAAAAGCGACTGCCATATCTGCTCACACGGATATCGCGGCATTCAATATCAATGGCTTGACGAGTGTTTCAGCTACCCTTCACCCATGAATCTATGGCAAAGTATACGCATTTGTCAGACATAGTCTTGAAAACTTTGTGAGACAAATTGAAGAATGTCGAATTACAAATACTTCCTAAAATATGATGCAACGAACATACACCTTACTGTAGGTAACCAATAAACACACACTCATTGAAACAATTA